GCTCTCAAGTACCTGGAAATTCCTGATTTTTCGACTGTGGAGAAGTTATTGATCAAGAACTCTGTACTTCATATTTCTGCTAATTTGAACAGCAATTTCGTTATTAAGAAAGGGTTTTTATCTGTTTCTGAATTTAGCTGCCTATGTGTTTCCTTGTGTTTAAGGATAACTTGGTTCTGGACTACGATGAGAGGTTCTTCCACGGGAAGCCCCAGAATAGTTTCCACAAGTCAGTCAGTAAACATTCTTGATCATGTTGATGTTTTCCCGAGGTGAGTCTACTTATTGGCACAATGGTTTCTACCATTCTAGATTAATATCTGTAGTTGAGAATAGTTCTAATTATAAGACTGTGACAACTGAGTGCCTTAAATCCTTTTCTGTTTAATCTTTTGACTTCATCGGTCAAATTATAAGACCGAAGAAATGCGTTGATCACCATCCTTTTAAATATTGTTTAGGTCCGAAAAACAAGTCTCCAAGATTCTTCAATCCTGCAATCAATATAAGGTTTGCAATTTTGACCCTGTAGAAAATTCACTGCTCAGTCAGTGTAGGCCAACTAGCTCTATCACTTGAGANATCTANGCTTCCTGGTGGAATGACCATTCGGACTTTTATTACCCTGATTTNTTTGGCTTGAATGAAGCTATTCTCTGCTCTTGAGCAAGAATTTATTCTGGCAATGTTTTCTGTTTGTTTAGGTTCCTATTGTACCATATGGTGGGGCTACATNAATTGAGGGTCATACCCTGGCTCCAAATGGAGGCGTATGCATCATGTCATCAATGAAGGTATGGCTAATCTTTTATGTCTGTCTGACATCACCGCCCTTGATTTTCATTAAGAATGTGCATCACTTACACTCCGCATACAAATGTTATTGAAATTATGCCTCTCTTCCTCANNCTTCTTTCAAANTGTAGAGGGTGAAAGCATTACATGTGGAGGATATGGANGTTGTTGTTGAGCCTGGAATTGGTNGGCTGGAGCTAAATGAATATTTGGAACAATACGGTCTATTCTTTCCTCTTGATCCAGGTCAGGCAANATTGAGATAGTGCCCTAGCTCTCGGATCATAGATTTCATATTTGTCTTTTGTTGATACCTGGAACATATTTCAGATTGACTGATCTTATTTTATTTGAATTTCAATTACCCTAAGAGAGTTCTTAGTCGCAGTCGCTGTATCATTCAGCATCTTTGGCATTGTGTTAAACTGACTCTTGAAATAGTACGAACTCGAATTTCCACGTTTATGGGTTCCATTCAGCAATTTGATAACAAAAAGTCGGGTGCAGGACCTGGTGCAACCATAGGAGGCATGTGTGCTACACGTTGCTCTGGTTCCTTATTCCTGAAAATTGTGGAGGTGCTTTACTCTTGCTTGTAGGTACGGAACCATGCGTGACAATGTTATAAGCCTTAAGGTTTGTTGTTTCTTCTGGTGATTCATGTCTTATCATACAATTCTATTTTATTTATGTTATGATCATCTTAGGTGGGTCTTCCTAATGGAGATGTTGTGAAGACAGCTTCACGTGCTAGAAAGAGTGCTGCAGGGTTTGTCTTCAGTCTTCAACTGTTTTCTTGGTTCTTTGTATTTCTTTTTCCCTGAAGACTAATTTTAGCCGTTGAGGTAATGTTTGATACTTGTCTGCATGGTGTCTCAGATACGATTTGACCCGCTTGATTATTGGGAGGGAGGGGACTTTGGGGGTCATAATTGAGGTTACCTTCCCGCAACATTCAGTGGTATAGTCAACTATCCCTGCTTTGGCTTAACTTGTTTCTTTGCTTAGTTTTTATTTCTCAACTCTTAAATAAGCACAGTAAAATGAATATCAAACGAAATGAAGCATATTTATGTCATATTTTCAGGTGGCAATATGCAATTTTCCTACAGTTAAGGATGCTGCAGACATGGCCATTGCCACTAATGCAGACTGGAATATGGCAAACGGGAAAAACTTGACTGAAGCGCCAACTCTGATGTTCGAATTTATAGGGACAGGTAATGCCTCAACATATTTCTTGTACTTTCCAAGTGGTNTTTCAAGCAATCTAAGATTATACGTCTCTTGTTGCAGTTTCACTCTTTGTAAATAATATCCACAGTTGTTAAANAAAGCATATTCACTCCCCNGTATCTTCTATTNCATCTGATGACANGATTCTCATGCTNGGTCTTGCCACTAGACACNTAAAGCAAGAATCATTGTCTTCTAGTTTCTCCTAATCA